ACACATTTGTTTGAAGTATACAACTTTTAAGGTTATGATTCTTTTTTTACCTTTATATCCATGATCCCTTATTTATATTTCTGATATATGTGTAAGTTGGAAGACTAATTGAAGAATTTTGTATATTCGTAAATATATTTTACTGATATGTTAACCTTATCAGTGGTTTTATAATTTGTGTAGTGGATGCTAGTCTTGGAAAAGAAAATAAATACCCTTTTGTGAGTTCTATGGTTTTAGATATCAGGATGTAGTAAAAATCATTTGCCTAAAAGTAGGTAAATACAGCTTCAGATGTACAACAATACATGTTTACACCATGTCATCTATTATACAAAAAGAAAGCCAAAATGGAGAGGGCATGTGTGAAAAACTAAGTAAACTTTATGATCCAATAACTTGGATCATAGAACCACTTTTAGCAGCGATAACTTGAATTAATCATGTTCTGTATGTCTCTGACATCATTGTGGAGGAAATTTGGCCCATTCTTTACAACATTGTTTCAGTTCACTGGAGTTTGTGGGCATTTGTTTATGCACAGCTCACTTGAGGTCCCACCACAGTATTTCAATTGGGTTGAGGTCTGGACTTTGAGTCATTGCAATACATTCTTTTCTTTTTCAGCCATTTTGTTGTAGATTTGCTGGTGTGCTTGGAATCATTGTTCTGTTGCATGACCCAATGTTGGTTTAGCTGTCAGGCAGATGGCACTCCTGTCACCATCTTCCCTACATCTTTGAAGGCAAAGCCAATTCTTTTAAAAACGACGCCCTACTACGGGTACGACAAAGACTCCCCTGCCCGAAAGGGCAGCCCAACCCCACGTGGGGAGGTGAAACTCCTGGAGCCACAGCGCAGGATCGGCCCACCCCGGGAGAAGCACCCAGCCACCATCCCTGCCTGACTTTAGAATACTTTGGTATACAGAGGAGTTAATGGCCGACTCAATAACTACAAGGTTCCTAGATCTTGTGGCTGCAAAACAAGTCCAAATCATCCATCCTCCACTTTTGCTTGACAGTAGGTATGTTTGTGCTGATATACTTTGTTTGGTTTTCACCAAGCATGGCATTGTACATTATGGCCAAACATCTCTGCATTGGTCTCATCTGTTCAAAGGTCAGTGTTCCAGATGTCTTGTGATTTGTTCACAAGCTTGTAAACCTAAGCCCTGCTGTCATTCTTTTTAGAGAGGAAGCTTTCTCCTGGCAACCCTCTCAAACAAATCATACTTTAGCATTTTTCTAATTGTACTATCATGAACTTCAACATTTAACATCCTAACTTAAGCCTGTAGAGTAAGCTGTAACTCTTGTCTTTTTTCCAATTTCTCTGAGCATTGCAGAATTTGCTGGGATGTCCACTCATGGGAAGATTGGTAACTCTTGGATGTTTTCCACTTGTGAGTAACCTTCCTCACTGTAGAATCATGGACTTTAAATTATTTGGAAATGGCCTTATAACCCTTCCAAGATTGATAGGCAGCAACAATTGCTTTTCTAAGATCATTGCTGATGTCTTTCTTTTTTGACATTTTATTAATACACACCACAATCCTTGGAGACCAGAAAACTTAGGCTTCCATAGAGGAAGTCATGCTTGTTGATGATCAGTTGATCAAGTACACTTGATTAGCAACATCTGGCTACTAATTTCTTTGTATTTATGAAGAAATCTAATTCAATTTCTTCACATTTATGGAAGCTGTAAAGTTGCACTCAGTTTTTCATACATGCTTCTCCAGTTTGGTTTTCTTTTTGTAAAATAAATTATGATATGGTATAATATGTCATACATTGTTGTTCATCTGAGGTTGTATTTATCTACTTTTAAGAACTGCTAAGGAGTAGATGATTTTCACTATGTCCTGCTATATAAAACCAAAGAATTCCAAGATACTTTATTTATATTATGGAATATTTTTGAAGTAAGTTCAATTTATTAAAAGAATATTTCTAAGAAGCAGAGAACATTAAGAATTGCTTTTAGAAATTTAATTCTCCATGTAAATTATGGAGGAGGTTAGTTAAGAGACCACCGCCACTCTGCCCATAGGCAGACTGTGGACAAATATTTGAAGACAACTTAGTGCTGCTATCGTCCTCCGGCTTAACAAGATCACACCAAGAGCAAGACATGTAATACTCTGGGAGGTCTCCAAAAACACAGAAAAAAACTGCTCAGGGTAATGTCTAAGAAACTAAAGGCTGCTTATGCATTGGTGTCATGAGAATGACATCAGAATACTGAAAATATGTGCATTGTCAAAGTTGCTTTTTCAAGAGGCAACTGGACTTTCTAGTTTTTCTTTGAAAAGCTTATTTGGCTCCTGGATGAGAAGTGGAACGTCTTCAAAGAAAAACCAGAAAGTCCAGTTGCCTCTTGAAAAAAAAAACACCTTTGAGACAACCATGACCTGGATGATTGAGAATCTCCATAGACAGTGATGTGCATGGCAGGTTTCAAAGGACAAGGCCAATACTCTTCAAGAAATAAACAAAAAAACTACTGCTCATCATCAAGCTGCTCGTTTTCAGCTTGTAAAAGACCACATGGATAAACCAAGACTATTGGAAGAATATTCTATAGATGGATCACACCAAAATAGATTCTCTCAATTGAATGAAAAGCTTTGGTGGTTGTATCATGGTTTGGACCAGTTTGGCTGCCCCTGGACCAGGATGACTTGCTATCATTTATGGAACAGTGTATTCTGAATTTAGAGGTGGTATTCAGCAGATTCTGACCAGTTCCAGAAAACTGGTAGTGGAAATTTTGAGTAGTTCAGAGAACTGGCAAATACTACCTCTGACTGGTCCCGCCCCCATCTATTCTCTGTCTCCTGAGTCCCAGCTGATCGGCTGGGTCTTTTTTTGTTGCCCCGCACAGGAGCTGGAAAGCAGGTTAGTGGGGTGGGAAGGGACTGGGATTTTGCAGTAACCTTCCCCTGGAGTATGGTGGGAATGGAGATTTTGCACTATCCTTCCCCTGCCACATCCACCAAGCCACACCCACATAACTTGTAGTAAAATTTTTTGAATCCCACCACTGGCTGAATTTGTACCAGCAAATTTTATAGGAATGTCAGGATATCAGTCCATGAACTGAAGCTCAAGAAAATGCGGGTCATGTGGCAAAACAATGACCCCCAAAACACACAAATCATATGACCATGAATTTTAAAGCAGGAGAAATGTAATTTTTTGGAATGGTCAGGTCAAAAGTCCTAACCTTAATCCAACAGAAATATGGAAGCATCTGAAGTGGGCAGTTAATGCAAAGAAGCCCACTAACCTCGCTGAATTGAAGCTGTTTTGTAAGGAGGAATCAACAGTTATTGGAAATGTTTAGTTGCATTTATTGCTGTCCAAGCGGGACATATCAGTTACTGAAGGCAAATGCCATATTTTTGCCACACACAAACAAGTGGGTTGGGATCATCTTCAATAAATAAATGGACAAGTATTATCTCTTTGACTTATTTAATTGAATTTTCCTTATCTAAGTTCAAGACATGTAGAGAACAGATATCATTTTAGATCATACTTATGCAAAAATATTGAAAATTCAAAAAGGTTCACAAATTTTAAACACTGCATCTGCAGTTTGGCTTTAAAAGGTATGACTTACATTTCTTGGATGAAAGGCGACAATAGACTGACAATTATAATTTCTATTTATTCCTCAAAACATTTCAAATTACATGCTCTGTACAATATTGCAAATTCTTTCATTTGGAATTCTGAACAAGAATTGATATTGTTAACATACATGGCAACTCTTCCCTTTCTATTACATTGTCAGAGATGGGGAAGAGGTGACACATGCATTATAATCATGACTTCAGACTCTTACAGGCTGCTATGCTTGTGTTTCTTTCGAATATTTTTCAACTGCTATATTCTAAATAAGGCAGATGTGCCCAGATCTGTTATTTTTAAATCATATTTTCCTATTGTGTTAAGAGCTATAAATGCATATATAATAAATGTGATCTTTCACTGAAACCAGTATCTTTTTCTCCCACACAATTGTACGCTTTAACATCAGGCACCCTTTTACCAATTTTATGCTGGTGGTAAAGTTGCCTATTTTTCTGCCACCATTGCATGCAATTTATTCAAGCTTTTATCAAGAATCTCTAAGATCAGCTTCTGGAGAACAAGCTGGATATAACTCATCATGATTCGTTTGCTTAGGATTTTGAAACTGTGAAAAAGACTGATACCTATATTTTGTGATATTAAAACAAACTATTATGCAAAAAGCCCCACTAAAATATACAAAGGAAAAGTAAGATTAAAGGATTTAACAAGAATACACATGTAAACATAGGATCATGTTTGGTCTTTCCTTGAATGTAGCTGTGGAACCCTACTCTGAGTGGATGTTTACACAATGAAGATAAGTTTGTCCCATTCTGTTTGTGCATTTAATAGTGGACAACTTTGGAAACAAGTAACTAACCAATGTAAAGGTGGAGAAATCAAAGTGATTTGCTGACTGAAAAAATATAGAGGAAGGGATGTTTATGATATAGCTCTCTTGAAAAACAATATTTCTATCAACTTTAACTTATTGTTTTAGAAATGTCATGCTAGTATTCCTGAGACCTGTACAAAAAACACACCTAGAAGATATAATGCAGCTACTGTCTATAGTTATATCAATGTCTTTCAACAGTAGTCACTTTAAGAGATGTGGACTTCAAATCCCAGAATTCCCCAGCCAGCACCATAATGAAAGTGTCTTAAGGTTGAGAAACACTGATATATATTATCGTTAAAGTGGCTAAGGTTGAGAAACATTAGCATATATTATGATTCCCCGAAAAGTCCTGCTCATCATTCTACTCCAATACATAAGCAGACGGAGTACACGGAAACGACGCTCACAGAGCGCCCAAATTTACAACGAACAGCAGTAGCAACAATCCAAAAACAATCTCCGTACTGCGCAAACTCCTAATTCTCCTCCTCCCCCTCCTCCCTGCGCATGCGTTGAGCTGCCGAGACCGGTGAGATTCGGTTGGATGGGGGTTGTTGTGAAGCTGCTGGGAACACGTGAAGCAACGTCATCATAAACATTAGTAGCCAAGATGGCAGCTCCGGCAGGGGGAAAGGTAAGGGACAGGAACAAAATCTTTTGAGTCGCGGTGACTGTAATGTTGCCTTGAGAGCAGAGCAAAGTTCATTATGGGAGCTCCGTAATGGTTGGGACGGCAATCCCGGACTGAGCCGGGAGAATGTCAGGCCGCTGGCTGAACCGGTCTTGCTTCGAGGGGTGTCTTCCAGATACGTCGGGGCAACAGCCTGGAGATCTCGGGCGGGGCTGGATGTGTCAACGGAGGCCCGAGGCTGAGGCGTTTTGCCTTAGTTTGAAGAGGACCGCCTCTTGACCTGCCGGGATGGGGACAGGTGTATGACACGTGAAAGATTTCCCGCATCTGTGATCAAGTCGCGGGTAAAAGGAACGGGATGCCTTCCTTGGTACTGTTGAAAAGGGAAGGGCAAAGGAGGTTTGGGGAAGAGAACATACCTCACTGCGTCACTAGAAGGCTTTCGTTTTACGGTTTTGTGGAACTTGCCTGTTTATAAGTACGTCTCTGAATGAATTGTCAGGGTGGAAGCTAGCCCATCCTTTTTACTGCATTCTGACCTGTTAGGCTTGCAGCTTTTTGACCGATTCTTTCAAAGGAGCTGTGTGATATGGTTAAAATGCAGGGGGAGGGGAATTACAAAACTTCCCAACACAAATCAGGGATAGTTTTTTGTTTCTGATATTAAAAAATCGATATCAACGTAATTATTGTTTGGAGGCTGTAACTAAGACATCCGATAAATAGATGGGAGATGGAGACTACTGAGGTGCTTGGGATTTAATGAATTAAAATAGAAATGGTTTCTAAAAGGGGATATTTTTTCACCACAGCATTGCCATATTTATATGGTTTGGTTGATATAAGTGATGTACAGTGTTGGTACTCATCCACCTTTACATTTAGATCATTTTCAGTGGGAGCACAACTGTTTATGTTTCTCAGATATTTTATTCTTCTCCTAGTAATACTGCTCAGTGTAGAATATTTCCAGTAACTAGGAATCCGTGTTTGTGTTGCTGAATTATAGCTTTCAATGATTTTATTATATTAATTTATTTGATTCTTTTTACTAGTTTTGTTTTAAATGAGGTTTTATATTCTGTAAGTCGCCTTAAGTCACCATGGGCGATTAGGCAGCAATATAAATTCAATAAATAAATTCAATAAATTCTGATTCAATAAACAAATATCTGAATTCAGAAAATTTATTTTTATTGTTCAATGGTATAACTACAGTATAAAGAAAAGAAATACAAACAAAACGAAACACATTCCTAAAAATGTTACAAGAAGGATGTAAAAGCAACTGAGTTTTAAACAACACATTAAATCTTGACTGCATAATAAATCAATAAATTTTCTCATTAGAGATAGATTGAGAGTGAATAGATTTTAGATCTAAATTCATATTAGCCATTGCATAATTATTAAACTATAACAGGACAATTATAGGGCATGTATCAGTATTACATTACTAGCATAAAAAGTTTTATGCACAGTCCCTAAATGTTCACTGGGATGTTTAGCAAACATAAAAATAGTTTAATGAAACTCATGTAAGATTATAAGAAAGTTTATTTAAATTCAAGACAATTGATTTATGGTCTTGCAACCCTTCACAAAGTTACTGCAAACTATAAAATTTATCTTAATACTTTTCATAAATCTATACAAATAAACTTGGTGTCTTCCAAAATACTTTTCAGTACAAGGAATGCACCATTTTCTTAAGCTGCTTATGTATCACATCCAAACTGAGAAATCAAAATAGGTTTAAACTGAATGTAGTACGTTTCAGTAATTTTAGGAAAATTCTTCTTAGAGTACATGTAATGTTTTAAGGGAGGGACTCGGTGGCTAAGACGCTGAGCTTGTCAATCAGAATGGTTGGTAGTTTGACGGCTCAAATCCCTAGCATTGTTCCTTGTCTCAGGTTCTGCCAACCTAGTAGTTCAAAAGCATGTAAAAATGCAAGTAGAAAAATAGGATCCACTTTGGTGGGAAGGTAACAGTATTCCGTGTGCCTTTGGCATTTAGTCATGCCAGCCACATGACCATGGAGACGTCTTTGGACAGCGCTGGCTCTTCGGCTTTGTAACAGAGGTGAGCACCACCCCCTAGAGCCAGAAATGACTAGCATGTATGTGCGAGGGAACTTTTACTTTTAATGTTTTAAGGAATGATTATTAGTTGGCTCAAAATATTAAGAGCTTTTTCAATCTAAATATTTGTTTTAAAAGATTTTGCAGTGATTTTCAAGTTAAAATTATTCCAAAATATCATTTTTTTCAAGTGAACAGAGATTAAATTTCCATCTGCAAATTCCAAAATCATCAAACCTTGATCATTACAGGAAATACCCTAAATACTTGCAAATGGTAAAAATATGTTTTATTCCAGCCCACTTTACCCACAAAATATCATTTGATTACATAATAAAACAAGCTGTTGAATCCAAAGGCAAATTAATAAATACATCCTTGATACATTCCACACAACTTCATGCTGAAGTTGTCAAACAGTAATCAGAGCTAGGATTCCAGCATGTTTTATCCTTGGACAAAACATCTTCTGCTTGATTTTCACAGAAGCTTTCCTCTCTATCTATTTCAGTTTGAGGGAAAGGCAGTGCTCACTCAATCTATACATAATATCCAGGTTGACATCTGTTCGTGTCCTGAATTTGCCCTTTAGAGTGCAGTTTCTGTGCTGTAATTACCGATCATGGTTACTGAGGTGGAAAGAAGAATGTCTTGAAGACTGGTTTTAGCTGGAGCTGGCCACCATATGTTAATAACGTGGGAGGTTACAAACTTACATTACAGAATTTTTATGTTTTTTTCCTCCTTTCCCACCAAATTTTCTTTTGGAGATCATCTCAAATTTACTAGGGTTATGCTGGCTGGTAACTTCTGATATGATAGTATATTGATAAGTTTCGTTTAGGAATGAAAATGAAGTTCACTTAATGTATTCATTAAGTTATTATTTATTTATATTTATATGTAATTGTTAATTATTCACTTTGAAAATTCCTATCTTAATGTGTGAAGAAATAATTCTATATAATTCTAATAACTGTATCTGGAAAAAAAATTAAGCTACTACTGGTAGTTACTCTAAATACTAAACAGAGGAATTCATTTTTATCAAACAGTCATTCCAGAAATTAAATCTGTACAATAAAGAGAACTTCTGTATATCATGAAGTCATTGCATTGATTCAGATTTTTCTGCCTGTATTTTCTAGCTCTAAAATATCAATTAACAGATATTGCCTGAAGCTTGTCACCCTTTTATAAAATCAGATTGTGCAAGATGAATTAATTTCAGGAGTAATATAGTTTGCAATCTTGGCATTTTTGCTTTTTGTATTAGGTTAGTTCACTGGTTCTCAACCTTTTCTTCATCACAGATACCTTTAAATAGCCTTTGTGTCCGTGGACGCCTCAAGACTTTGCTCAAGATTAAAATCATAACATTTCTTCAAGCCTTCATGGACCCCCTGTGATGACATTGCAGATCCCCAGGGGCCCACAGATCACAGGTTGAGGACCATTGGGTTAGTTAATTTGTGGGTTATAATTTTTTTAAAAAATGAAATGGATCCATGAGCCTAAGCAAACCTAAGATCCTCCCATCCTTGAAAGAAGAAATATAGTACTTGGTTTGGAGATGGGGAAAAATGCTTTCTCTTGTATTCATTGTTGAAGTTACAGGATTATCATGACAGAATTGGTAGGGAGTTATGTTATCCTGAAATGATATGTGTTCTTTCATTTTATAATATTATAAATGCGAAACAGTGAATTGGCTGGTGTGGTATAGGAAAGTTTAACATTCACTTTTGCTTGGTTTCTGAAGCAATGGTTTATTTTGAGCAGAAGCATATGTGCATATGACCATTACATGTGAACCTGAAAATGTTCATGTGTTGCCAGTGCCACGATTAAAGGCTTAGACAAGAATATCTAACACTTTCAGATTAATTTTCTAAAATATAAGCAAATCCAAATTAGTTTAAAGTGAATTTAATGAAATAGATTGATTAACATAGAATGTATCCTAAAATATTTAAAGGCATGTCTTTCCCCATTTGTTCCTGTCCTTGAAAACCTATTCCAAGGGTCCATGTCCTTTGAAGTTTGGGGAGTGGTTGATGGGAGTGGTCTTTTTTTAGAGTTGCTTGTTTCCATATGAAGCATTATTTTATCAGAACTTTTAATTATTTTTCTATTTGAGCTTCTGTGTAGTATTCTGTTTTAACTAGCTTGCCTTTTTCACTTCTGATATCTTTATTTAAAAGCTTTAAATTGATAGCTTTTTATTTTAATAGTTCCTTGCCTTGTGACTAACATGCTTTAGGAATCAGTAAAAATGGGATAAACTGTTTCTGAGCTCTTGATTTTAATATAGCTTGTATTGCAGAACTACTCTTGTTTATTTTTCCATCCATATCATTATATCCCCAGACATGCAATATTCTATTCTAATAGAAACACTGCCCAATTTATTACTTGACTGACCTAGTGAGTATGCAATATAAGCGTGTCATTTTCTCTGAAAGGCCCAAATTACATTACAGTAATTGGTTTTGTCCCCAGAGCAGGTTCAAAACAGATTGCCAAAAAACGAAATAACTCTGCTTCATTTATTATTTTTATTTTTTATCTTTTAGATTGTATATGAACAAGAAGGAGTTTTCATTCATTATTCAAGTGAAAATGATGAAGATCATGATGCTTTACAATCTGGGTTATTGCGAGTCATTGAAAAGATTACACATCAAAATGTAGGATTTTCTCTTTTGAATATAACAGTATAATATGTTGCCTGTGAATTTACCTTTCACCATTTATAAAAGATGGAATAGAATAGAATAAATCAATATTATTTTGTAAATAGAAACATATGACATTACTGAATTACTTTTTGAATAATTGCATCATTTGTGTTTTAGGGTACTGAGGTAATAATAGATTGGAGACCTCTGGATGATTCATTAGACTCTTCCAATATTCTATATGCTAAAAAGGTATGCTAATTATTTGTAGCAATTTTTGTAACACTTTAGAAGTTTACCTTAGAAAACTGAAATAAAAATAAAATGAAGGTTGAAACAATCAGATTGCCTCTCAAATACTCTATATTGCAACTACCAGAAGCCCTGATGAATATTTCTAAAAGTCAGAATTTTGGGATTCCTTTTCTAAAATATCAAGGTAAGCCAGATCAGGAAACAAACAAATATCATAAATACTAGAACTCTACTATACTGATGCAGGTTATTATAGCAGAATCTTCAGAGTCCAACATATTCCCTTCATGTTTTATCAAAGAGACTCAAGGTGGGGAAGCTTTAATTTTCTTTCTCGCACTTTCTGTTCTGACCTAGGCTTCCCAAGATCATGAAGCAGACTCCTTGTTCCAATAAAACCCCTTTTATTTAAGTTAAAGGGAATTCCTCTCCAGCAAAGTCCCAGCAAACAATCTTTCATGAGATTTCACAACTAGAGATCATTATCAAGCCTGGAGAGTTGCAAGGCCAATATCTTCCTAATGCCACGCTGTAGCAGCAATTACTTGGCAAGAAGTCAGGAACAGATCTTCACCCTAATGAATTGAACTAATTGTCTCCTGCAAACACCACTCCCCTTTCGCTCCTCTTTATTCCCTATGGAAGGGGCCATTCACCATCCACCTGAGCCTTTACCTCCAAGTCGACCATTGTTCCTTAACTGTTCCCTTCTCCTGGCAGCTCTGTGCATGTGCACACTGGGAACAGGCTCCAGTTGTTCTTCTGCCCCACTGATCTCCAACTCTGAAGGCAGCTGATAACTGTCAGACGACCTTGGCCCCATCTATGCCTGCAATACAGAGCACTTGTCAAAGCCTTCCCCACACTCCAGGACTGGCCAATGTTCCTCCCCAACCTCCTCACTGTCCAAGTCTGCGGCCAGCTCTACTGGCCTCTGTTGGCCCACAACACTTCCTTGTTTTCCCAGATTTAGCTCATGTTTTCTAATAGTCTCCTTCTCATAGGTCATCCCTCTGGTACTTTATGAGGATGGATAATATTTTGATTCTTAATCTTTTTAGAAAACAGAGGATCAGAATTTGTGAGGCAGTGTTGATGCAGATGCCATATATCCGTGTGACAGTTTTTCTGTGATTTTCTTTTTTAATTGCTTTATCTTTATAGTAGGCAATGTGATAAGAAACATTCTTGTGACTTTTGAATTAACGGAGATTGTGGAGACTGCAAAAATTGAGTGAAGGAATAGTTTCTCACTCATGAGCTTGAAGATGGCAGATTGTCTTTCCAAACCTAAAAGGTTATTTTCACCATCCAATAATAGAATATCTTGGGAGGAGAAGAACTTAAAAAAATAATTTCCTTATCTCTGGTGGGCGTAATCACCACAGAAAGCAATAATACTTAGCACAATTGCTATGTATATTTATTGAGTCAAAGTTTGAATACAGCCGTCCCTTTAATATATTTTTCTATTCCAGCATATCTAATTGGAGATACAAATTGTTGGTCAACATGATTTTAATTATAATCAGGTTATTTCATTTAATACTCTGGCAATTTCCAAACATCTTGTAATTCCTTGATTTTCTAATGTTTAAAATATAACAAGAAATAACATAAAAAGCAGCAAATAAAACAGCAAACTGTAGAATGTTTTATATTTTATACAGATCCGTATAACTTCACATACATATCACAGTTTACGTACAGAATTTCTCTTTGTCTTCAATTACAATGATAATGAATTTTGCAACCAATGCTTGCATTTAGACCATTATAGGTCTGTAAAGCAAAGGGAAATGAAGTAAGATTGTAAGTACAGACAGTTTTACTTGGCGACTGCTTCACTTAATGACTGAATTGTTGATGCCAATAGCATCCCTAAACAAGTGTTATTTATAGTGTGATCCTGTGTTCTTCTATTGAGAATTAAGCTTCAATGGGTTTTATATTCAGCTAAATGTCTTTAGGACAACAGCCTAACACTGCAGTTCTGTCACAGGGTATCAAAAATACCATAATGAATTTGATGTAATTACTTAATAGTACCAATTTCACTAAATCAAATCAAGATAGATGCAACAAGATATATTTTACTGACAGTGATCACTGGGCTCCTTGCCAAAAGATAACAGGGAGAATTATAAAGTCCACAGGTTTATAGTTGATGCACCTCTGAAATGCTACATAGAACTCCTTGACAGCAGAAATGTAGAATTTGATAAAAACATAGGTTGACCTTAGTATGGGTTGACCTGTATCTAGTGCATATTCTGCTTTTTTGAGCAGGCTCCAAACCTACCTTTTCTACTGATAACACTTGCTAGCATAAACAGTGTCCTTTATTGTATCCATAGCTTAACTTCCTTCATAGGAAAAAAAAACCTGATTTTTTTTATCTGTCTCCTACCTGAGCAGAGTTTCAGTTTACCCTCTCTGCCCAATGTGCACTTCAGAATCATACTGTATATGTAAGGCAAGAATATTATTTGCCTTTCACACCAGAGGAAGTCTCAGCTTACAGAACAGAACTTCTCTTTGTTTTCTATTTTGTAATCTAAATATGTTGGACTCTGACAAGCTGCTTTTGATTAATCTGCTGATGGAGTACTGTTACAATTTTAGAAGACGGTTTGGGGAATGATCAGCTGCCCATTGTTCCATTCTTGGTCATGGAAATTCATATGCTCAATTGTTGGTATTTTTATCTAACATACTTTAGTGTTCTCCTGTTCTTTGGTACATCAGTGTTTTAGTTGACCCTAATGCTATTGCGTTGTCATAGACTTTTGCATGAATATGAATTGTTTGTATTTTATTAGTCTGAGTATTCATCTTACAGTTCACTAAGTTTTTACAAAATTATATTTCATGATTGCTGCTAGTTGCGAAGTCATGTCCGACCCATCATGGCCCCATGGACAACATTTCTCCAGGTCTTCCTGTCTTCTGCCATCCTCTGGAGTCCATTTAAGCTCATGCCTACTGCTTTGGTGACTCCATCCAGCCACCTCATTCTCTGTCGTCCCCTTCTTCTTTTGCCCTCAATCGTTCCCAGCATTAGGCTCTTCTCCAGTGAGTCCTTCCTTCTCATCAGGTGGCCAAAGTATTTGAGTTTCATCTTCAGGATCTGGCCTTCTAAAGAGCAGTCAGGGTTGATCTCCTCTAGGACTGACCCATTTGATCACCTTTGCAGTCCAAGGGACTCGCAGGAGTCTTCTTCAGCACCATAGTTCAAAGGCCTCAATTCTTTGGCACTCAGCTTTTCTTATGGTCCAACTTTCACAGCCATACATTGCAATTGGGAAAACCATAGCCTTGACTATATGCACTTTTGTTGGCAGGGTGTTGTCTCTGCTTTTTAGTATGCTGTCTAGATTTGCCATAGCTTTCCTCCCCAGGAGCAAGCGTCTTTTAATTCCTTGGCTGCAGTCCCCATCTGCAGTGATCTTGGAACCCAGGAAAATAAAATCTGTCACTACCTCCATTTCTTCCCCGTCTATTTGCCAGGAATTGAGAGGGCCGGATGCCATGATCTTAGTTTTCTTAATGTTGAGTTTCAAGCTAACTTTTGCATCCTCCTTTTGCATTCACATCAGGAAGCTCTTTAGTTCCTCTTCACTTTCTGCCATTTAGAGCGGTATCATCTGCATATCTGAGGTTATTAATATTTCTTCCGGCAACCTTAATTCCAACTTTTGATTCATCTAGCCCTGCCTTTCTCATGATGTGCTCTGCATATAAGTTAAATAGGCAGGCGACAGTATGCAGCCTTGCTAGACTCCTTTCCCAATTTTAAACCAATCAGTGGTTCCGTGTCCAGTTTTCACTGTTGCTTTTTGACCTGCATATAGATTTCTCAAGAGACAGATAAGATGGTCTGGTACTCCCATCTCTTTAAGAACTTGCCACAATTTGTTGTGATCCACACAATCAAAGGCTTTAGCATAGTCAATGAAGCAGAAGTAGATGTTTTTCTGGAACTCCCTAGCTTTCCCCATGATCCAGTGTATGTTGGCAATTTGACCTCTAGTTCCTCTGCCTCTTCAAAATCCTGTCTGTACTTCTGGTAGTTCTTGATCCACATACTGCTGGAGTCTAGCTAGTAGGATTTTAAGTATAACTTTACTAGCATGTGAAATGAGTGCAAAAGTGCGATAGTTTGAACATTCTTTGGCACTGCCTTTTTTTAGCATTGGAATGTAAATTGACCTTTTCCAATCCTGTGGCCACTGTTGAGTTTTCCAAATTTGCTGGCAAATTGAGTATAGCACTTTTACTGCATTGTCTTTTAAGATTTTGAATAGCTCAGCTGTACTAGCTTTGCACTAGTCACCTCCACTAGCTTTGTTGTTGCTCAGATTTCCTAAGGCCCGTTTCACTTCACATTCTAGGATGTGTGGCTTGAGGTCAGTGACCACCCCATCGTGGTTATCAGAGACGTTAAGTTCATTCTTGTCTAGTTCTTCTATGTAATTTTGCCATCATTTCATGATTAGCCATCATGATTATTTGCTGAATAAGCCTACAAAATGATTACAGTATGTTCAAACATGAATTGTGTCTCCTTCAGCTAGTAATTGGTTCCTGTATACCCTTTGAGTATATTATAAACTTCATAGATTCTGGGCCTGGTCATGAGAGCAATAAATCTCTCATGTTCTCCTCGGCTACTGGTATA